GAGGGAGTGGGAAGAGCTGCCCCCACTTCCTTCCTTCGCTCTAGATCCCTTGGGTCTGCTGATGGCAGCAGAGCATGCTGGCCTGAGAGGCTACAGACCCTCTACCAGGGGTTAAACAGCTAGTCACCAGAATGCAAGTGCCCAGCAGCAGGACAGACACTGGTCTGGAGGCAAGTAACCCCAGATGAGGACACAGACCCAGGGAAAGAGAGGTGACACTGCATCGTGACTATAGATTCAAATTACAGCTCTGCCACTGGGGCCCCAGAGTCCTCACCTGCAGAGTGAAGCTGGTGATAACATAACTCAAGGAGGTGGCCGTGAGGACTGAGTTAGCTGACGCGAGTCAAGTGTAGGCCCTGAAGCCAACGCTCTGTGCCCAGCCCCAGGGCTGTCACTAAGATGGGAAGTGTTCTGATTTCACAGAAAGCATGATAGTGCTGAAGCGCCTTGTCATGCATATGAAACAGTGGGTATGTGCTTCCATGCATTTTTGTGTAGAGAAGGTTTCTCAGATTCCAAAGGGGCCCATCACACCCTCACAATGAGAACCACCATCTAGGGTTGGTGATTCAAGGGGCCAGCAGACAGGAGGCACGACCTGAAGAAACGCCTGCTGGCAGGAGCAACCAAGGGCAGGCGGAGCCATCCAGCTGGCAGTAGGAGGCACTTTCCTCCCAGGTAGGCCGATGGCATGCCCCCATCTGGCAGGAAACTGTCACCTCCACATTGTCCCTTGTGCGGGAAGGACCACACATGTGTACAGCACCTGGCGGGCACAGCATCCAGTGAGAACTCCCATACTGCCATCTGAGGGGATGGGCTGGGGAGGACTCCACGACTACACTCAGACAGTGTGGCCATCTAATAATCTTAAAGGCAGAGTTAATTTTTTTTATATGTTAAAATGTAAATCAGATGTTGCACCTGCCCCAGCCCTCCAACAACTTGCCATCATACAAATAAGTCGTAAGTCTCCTATGGCCCATGCCCAGATGCTACCTTCTGCCTTTAAGTGTGTACCAAGCAAGTGCTCACGAGGCCTTTGCACCTCTCTTCCTGCTGCTTGGACTATTCCTAGACATTGAAATAGTAGTATTTTGCATAAAACCTTTTATTCTAAAGAGCTGATCTGCAATTATGCCTTTGTCAGTTAAAAAAATATAACAGACTATATGAGTGGGAGTCATTTTTCTAATTGACAGCCATTTTTTGCTAAGTATGTTCTAAGGGCAGTAAATGCACATTTATGGTGGGAAAGGCAGCAACTCAAGGAGCTCAACTGGAACAATCTAAAATCCTTACAATAAAGACTATTCATGAAACCAAATAATTTTAAAATATGGTGAGCACAGTATATGTGAATTTTTGAGTTCTGAGATAATAGTTTCAAATAATAATTACAAAATTCAACAAATGGCAATAGGAGACTGGATATTCACATGGAAAAGAATAAAACTGGACCCTTATCTTACAACACATACAAAAATTACTTCAAAATGGATCAAAGACCTAAAGAGATAAAACAATAAAATTCAGGAAAAAACACAGGGAAAAATCTTCATGAGCATGGATTTGATAATGATAATGTTCTTGGGTACAATACCAAAAGCACAGGCAACAAAGGAAAAAGTAGATAAAATGGACTTCATAGAAATTAAAAACTCCTGCACATCACAGAAAACTATTAGGCCAGGCGCGGTGGCTCACGCCTATAATCCTAGCTCTCTGGGAGGCTGAGGTGGGTGGATCCTTTGAGCTCAGGAGTTCGAAACCAACCTGAGTAAAAGCAAGACCCCGTCTCTACTATAAATAGAAAGAAATTAATTGGCCAACTAATATATATATAGAAAAAATTAGCCGGGCATGGTAGCACATGCCTGTAGTCCTAGCTACTGGGGAGGCTGAGGCAGAAGGATCACTTGAGCCCAGGAGTTTGAGGTTGCTGTGAGCTAGGCTGACGCCACGGCACTCACTCTAGCCTGGGCAACAAAGTGAGACTCTGTCTCAAAAAAAAAAAAAAAAAAAGAAAACTATTAAAAGAATGAAAAGACAACCCATAGAATGGAAGTTAATTTCCACAAATCATATACCTGATAAGGTGTTAATATCTATAATAAGGAGAGGACACCTGCAACTCAACAACAAAAAACAAACAACCCAATACAAAAATGGGCAAAGGTCTTGAATAGACAATTCTCTATTCAAAGAAGATATACTTAGCATAGTACATAAGTGAACGTAAAAGAAAACAAAATAAAAATGTTATTAAATATACAAAGAAGATAGACAAATAGCCAAAAAGTAGGTGAAAAGATGCTCAACATTATTAGTCATCAGGGAAACTAAGTCAAAAACACAACGAGATCCCACTTCCATCCACTATCAATGGCTGCCATCAATAAAACAGAAAAGTGAAAGGCGTGAGCAAGTACACGGACAAACGGCAAGCCCTGAGCACTGCTGCCAGGGCATGTAAAATGGTACAGCTGCTGTGGAAAACCATCTGGCAGTTCCTCAAATAGTTCAACACAAAACTACCACATGATTCAGCAATTTTCCTTCTAGGTACACACCCAAAAGACTGAAAGCAGAGACTCAACGAGATACTTACTTGTACCTCAATGTTTATAGCAACACTATTCACAACAGCCCAAAGGTAAAAACAACCTAAGTGTCCAACAACAGATGAATGGGAAAACTAAATGTGGCTCATACATACAATGAACTGTACAGCCATAAAAAGGAATGAAGTTCTGACATATGTGCAAGGATGAACCTTGAGGACATATTACTAAGTGAAATAAATTAGACTAGAAGAATAAATATTGTGTGATTCCACTTATATGAGGTGCCCAGAGTATTCAAATTCATAGAGACAGAAGTAGAATAGAAGATGCCAGGGGCTGGGGGACAAGGGTGTGGGGAATGGGGAGTTATATAATGAATAAAGAATTTGTTTGGGAAGAAGAAAAGGTTCTGGGAATAGACAATACCAATGGTTACACAACATGAAGAATGTATTTAACTGTCACTTAAAAATTGGTTAAAATGGTAAATTTTATGTTAGGTACAAGATAATAACAACAGTTTTCATTTTATAGCATGCACTAACACATTCAAGGGACTCCAATTTCTTACTCTACATCTGGAGATAAATCTAAATATGTATACTCTCAGAGCAGAGAAACAATTTCTGAAGATAGAGGTGTACCAGTCTCTCTTGCCCTCCTCACCTGAGCCTGGACTCAAAAAGCACCCAAAGACTTTCCAATGGGTTTACACCATATTCTGTGATGGTGACATCCTATACTGTGTCCTACACTATACGAGGGTCTATATCTAAGATCCTACACTGGCCGGAGAAGTCCTACTGAGGTAGTCTAAGCATCTACACCATGGCAGAAAATAGAGCAATTTCAACTCCAGGACTTCTCAGAAAATTATCGAGTCTGCAAAAGCATTTATCAATCTTTTCCATTTATATCAATGTCATGGCAATATAGGCAATGGCAGGTCCAGCAGAATCAATGTAATGGGCACATCTACAACCTCTGTTAAAATCTTTCCTTGACCATGATCTAACTTCCAGCCTTGGTCTGATTTTCTCGTGGATCCAGACTTGTGATCTTGGTAATTCAGTTAAGAATTCTCTAGAATAAATGAAGGACACAGGGCTTTATAAATATCTGGAGTGATAAGAATTCTGTAACATTAGACTTAGCCCAAGTCTGGGCACAGGGAGACACAGGTCTCCAAAGCCATCCATAACGACTCTGCATCTTAACGAGGTTTGCTCTTTTCAGACTTGAGAGAATGCAGATTAGATGGTTAGCGAGCAAGCAGATGGCAAGAGACCTGCTCTGACCCACCTGGGAGAAAGGGAGGGAGGAGGTGAAGTCTGACTGTTAGCCTGCCAGGCTGAACACCTTTACATGCAAACTGACAGTGCCAAGGAGAAAAAGTGTTGCTGAACTTAATACAAGAGGAATTCTGTCAAAATTAAATTTCAAAATATATGCACTATTTTACTGCTTTTATCTCTGATTTTAAAATTCACAAGAGACCTCAAACACTGTAAAGTGCATGCTTTTATGTATATATTTTTTAAGTCAGTGGATTTTCTTTAGATCATTAGATGTGGAAAATTAAAGAACCTATGTTTTCCTGTTAGCCTTCCTATGAAGAGCAGAAATATCAGAGAGGCAGGTCACTCCTTAAAACTGACCTTACGTACTTTTCCCTTGATATACACTCAAAACATGTATTTGTCATGTTTCTTCCTGAAGGAGTTTTCCTAAGAACTCTTGCTATCCCTTAGGACTTCAAAATCAGGAGAAAAAAATTAATCCCTCTTAATCACATCCACCTACTAATTAGCTAAACCACACAACACTCAGGGGTCTGGCCCAGGTTAACACATCTCTGTACACCACAGACCCCATCTTTGGCAGGAAGAAACCCTGTAGTTCTAGAGGCAGCACAAACTAATTACACTAATTCATCCCCCATTACTTTATTAAACATAACAACCAAAAAGACTATGATATCCAGATAGATTAAGTATGAAAACACAACATCCTCAATTTTATTAGCCAATAATCAGGACCCACAGAACCACACAGCACAGATGGGCTGATTTCTGCCTCCATGAATTTTAAACTGCCTTTTGCAACATTCCTCTGGCTCTGATGAGCTAGTATAGTGCTCCACAATATGTTGGCTCATGAAATCTAAGCAACCATGCCTTCCTCTACACTCCTCATTCAGCCTCAGCCACAAAGTGCACACTGCCTATAAAAACCCGCTTAAAAGAAAATTAAAGTTATTCTAAAATGCCATGCACAACAGACACAGCTTATATATGTATGCTGCGTAGCTACTGGTAGGTGGCAAGCGGCCACGTCCCGGCGCCCGACATTTTCCGTATCACTATAATACACAAAGGAGAGCAACTACCCAATAACAAGTTTGTATTTCAGAAAGCAATTGTCACACACCAACTCTCTGATTTTCTTTATTCAAAAATAAAAGAGGTACAAAAAGTATAGAACTAAAATGTCCAATGTAATCTGAAATAGTAGGTTCACCAAAATGTCCTAAAGGTAAACCTGCATTTTGGAGGGATTAATTATTATTACTAGAGAAAGAATGTTTTTTTAAAGAACGGTATCTCAGAAAAATGCTGACCAGTGCGGTAGATGGTTATTTAACCTCCCATTTTTATGGGTGAGCCTATAGGTCATGGACAGTCTGCTGAGCAGTGAGGAACTACTCAGAGGAAGCCCTCTTCCTGGTAGTATAGACCTTTCCAGAAGGATGGATTCTTTTATGGCCTCCCCTTTGGCAAGGTAACCACCCACCCCAAGTACTTTCACTTCCAGGAGGAAGTGATGTGGGATATATAAAAACTTACGTCCATCTCTAGTCAATGGCATTCTGCCGTCTCTAACACATGGCACATGGTGACGGTTTTGGAATACAAAATGAGGGACTTGGGCAGGGGAAGGGACACTGGCATTTTCACCAAACCCCTAGGTGGCAGAGCGCACCTACACATTATGCTCCAGAGCGCGGAGATCTTCTAGGAGTTCCTGGGCGGCTGTCTGCAGGTGATGGTTGCGGCTCTTGGACATCGCCAGGATGCGCTGCAGGGGCAGGGAGCTCCGGAACTCAGAAGCCGACCTGGAGAAGACTTCTGGCTCCAGAACCACGGACTGGACAAGCCGTAACACGTGAAGGCACACCTCTGCATCTGGGTCTGGGGAAAGAGGCGACCCCTCCAGTTAGAATGAAACCTTCGAAGGGAACCTGCCCCTCAAGGGGTTCTCAGCCTTTTTGAACGTCAGATTTGACAGTTTAGAAAACTATGAGCTAACCCAGAAACAAAGTGAGCTTTACATCAAAGCTTCTTAACGTAAAAGCTTAGCTCATAAAAGCAGTGTGACAAAATTCAATAATTGTCTATTTAGTAGTCATCATATCCAAATAGTACTCACAATCATATAATTTTAAAAGGCAGAACTAGAAATATGAGGGCTTTCCATGTTTGTTATAATTCTGTCCACTTATAAGATTGTTTTAAAAGGTATTACTTCATTTTCATTCTAACTACAGCAAACCTTTCAGAGACCACATAGAGATACAGCATCTATTCAGGGCCACTGAGTCATAGGCTATAATATTCACATTGTTTATTTTCCACGTGAATGTCCCCAGGAGTTACAGAGCCTGATAGCCCTGCTTAACTGTAGCAACCACTAAAGAACAGCTGAGCCAAAACAACAGCCGCACCCAAACTATAATCCTTAACCAGAGCGGAGCCAACTCTCCTTACCATTTATTAATACCCTCTTTCTCTATTGGGAACCTTTAACATGCCATTAATTTACTTTTTGATTGGTTACTATAATTGGAAAAAAACAGCACTTCTTTCTTAGTACATTTATTTAAAAAAAAAAAAAAAACCTGCTAAGAAGTAAGAGGACTGAGGAGTGGACTAAATCCTTCAGTGGGAGCTGCCACAACCTCACGCCCAGACCAGAGGCTTCTCCCTACAGAACAAGAGGGGGAGACCGCTGTGGCTGGGGCAGGATAAAAGGAACTGCTCTACCCTGAGGGATGGTGCCAAACCATCCTGAGCCCAGACCACAGAGTCTTCCTCTTTGGGTGGGGCGGGAGACTTTTTCTAGTACAGGCTTGCCCAAGACACAGAGCACCACGGGCACAGAGGGAAGGCCAAAAGCCAAAGGCAAAGACACGCTTCCATAACATGTGTCATGCACACCACCGGGGGATTGGACACATGGGGGGAGGGGGAGCAGGGGCAATATTTGTAACCCTAACAATATTTGTACCTCCATAATATGATTGATTAAATAAATAAATAAATAAATAAATAAGACACTCTGGCAACTCCACCCTCAGCCTAAGCACAGGAAAGGAGAGAGGAATCTGCAGCCAGTGGGACTGGAAGGTAACCACAGCAACAACAAAACGGTCATACATCATTTAACAACAGGGATACATTCTAAGAATGTATCCCCAAACCCAGCTCAACCTCCCACACTGACAGCCCAGTGGAACAAAAGGTGTGGACACTCCCAAGTGCAAAACTACCTACCTACCTCTGCAGAGGTAGATATGCTATGGCCACAGGCCGAATGCAGCCCATGATCTATTTCTGTACAGGCTACAAACAAAAAGAGGTTTGCACATTTTTAAAGGGTTATTTTCCTAAAGGAAAAAAAGAAAGAATAATATGCAACAGAGATCATATGTGGCCCTAAAAGCTCAAAATATTTCCTATCTGGCCCATTACAGAAAAGTCTGTTGATCCTGCTCTACTGTGCTCCATATAATGTCCAACATTCCAAAAAAAAATTATAATGAAAGAGCAAGAGAAACAAAAGGCCCGCTATCAAATGATAATCAACGTAGCCAGACAAAGAGACAACCCATCAGAAAGGGAATTTGAAATAAATATGATTGACAGATGGTAAAACACACAGCATGCTGTTTTTTAAAGGTAAGCATGCGCTCGCTGCATAATGATGTTTCAGTCAACAATTGGCCACATATACGACAGTGGTCCCCTAAGATTATAGTACCATATTTTAACTGTACCTTTTCTATGCTTAGATACACAAATCCTACTAGGCTACAAACCTGCACAGCAACATGGCTAGGTGCATAGTAGGCTAGACCATCTAGGTTTGTGTGAGTACACTCTAAGATGTTCCCACAATCACAAAATCATCTACTAATGCATTTCTCAGAATGTGTCCCCATTGTTAAATGATGTATGACTGTACTGAGATAAAAGATTGCATTGTGAACCCTAGAGCAAATACTATAAAAAAGTATTTTTTAAATGTAAGTGATAAGCTAATACTGCAGATAAAATGAGATATTAAAATACTAAATCCAGTATCAGACAAGAAAGAGGAAAAAAAGAAATTAGCATTATTTCTATATTTTATAATTACATTAAATGAAAACAGTATAAGCGTCAGTTATGCCATACAACCACTAATTAAAAGAAGGCTGCAGCTCCTATATTTTCATCAGGACAAGAAATATTACCAGGGATAAAAAGGGACATCACATAATTATAAAGAGGGCAATACACCAAAAGACACAAAGCAACACATCTTAGGACTCCAAGGGCAAATAAACATGTTCAAAATTAAAGTTAGAAACTTTTACACTCTTATTTCCATTACTGATTTTAAAAATAGAAGAAAGAAAATAATAAGGATATGGAATACCTGAACAACACTATCACCCAACCTGATCTGACATTTATATTAAAAGAATACTCAACCCAACAACAGCAGAAGACATTCCTTCCAATGCCCCCTGGACATCCACCAACATAGTCCATGGTCAGGGCCACAAAACAAATCTCAAAAAATTTACAAGAATTCAAAGTATGTTCTGTGATCACATAGGAATAAATGAGAAATAACAAATAAATAAATAACAGCAAAACGTCTTAAAATTCCCAAATATTTGAATCAAATAACACACTTCTAAATAATATATGGATCAAATAGGAAGCCATAAAGGATTTTGTATTTTAGTATTTTTGTATTTTGTATTTTTTTGTATTTTGTATTTTTGTATTTTAGTATTTTCAACTAGAAAATACTGTTCATGCAGTAAAAATGAAAACACAACATTATCAAAATTTGTGGATGCAGGTAAGCCAGTGATTCTGAGGGAAATTTATAGCATTAAATGTTTATATTGGAAAAGAACAAAGGTCTCAAATTAATTATCTTGGATTTTCCCCTTAAAAATATCAGAAAAAGAGTAAATCAAACCTAAAAAGTGCGAAAGGGGAAAAAATAAAATTGCGGAAAGAAATACAATTGAAAAAAAAAATCAATAAAACCTAAAGCTGACCCTTTTTAAAAATCTATAAAATTGATAAAAACTCTTGCCAGACTAATTTAGAGAGAGAAACAAAGACAGAGACAAGTGAGACAGAGAGAAGACAGACAAAAATTACAAACATTATATAAAGAGATAACAAGGGAATATTATGAATAATTTTGTGCCCACAAATTTTATAATTTGAATGGGATGGACCAAGTCCAAAGACACAAACTGTAACAAATCACTCAAAAAAAAGAATAATAATAAAAGATGAATTAGTCCTATATCTATTAAAGAAATTAAGTTTATAGTTAAAAATGTTTGAATAATGAAAAAAAAAAAAACCCAGGCCCAGAGGGCTTCATTAGCAAATTCCAGCAAATAATTAAAGAAGAAATAATAATTTTACACAACTCTTTCAAAAAAAATAGAAAAGGAGGATATAAGTCTCAACTTTATGAGGCCAGAATTATACTGACACCAAAACTAAACAAAGATATTTCAAGAAAAGAAAAGACCAATGTCCCTCATGAACATAGACACAAAAATCCTAAAGAAAATATTAGCAAACAAAATCAAGCAATATCTAAACAGGGTAATACTTCATAGCCGATATTTATTATAGGCATACGAGGTTGGTTTCAACATTTGTAGATTAATTGATGTCACTTACAATAACAATGATTTTCTTCTTCAGAAAAAAAACAAATTATCTTTTCAACAAATATAGAAAAAGGCTTTGGCAAAATTCAACACCTATTCATAATAAAAACTCTCAGCAAACTAGGAATAAAAAGGAATATCCTGAACCAGACTAAATGCATCTACAAAAAATACACCACTAACATCACAATGCTTCTTTTCTGAGATAAGGCACAATGCAAGGATGTCCATCCTCACCACCACTATTGAAAATCATACTAAAGATCCAAGCCTATGCAGTAAGGCAAGAAAAAGAAATAAAAGGCTTATAGATTGGAATGTTAGAACTATCTCTATTTGCAGATGACATGACTGTCTATTCATAAAACCCCAAAGAATCCATTATAAAGCTACTAGAACTAACTAAGTTTAGCAAGGTTGAGGAATACAAGGTCAACATACAAAGATCACTTGTATCCACACACTAATAAAAAATTGGAAATCAAATGTTTTTATAAGACTACCATTTACAATAGCATCAAAAACATGAAACACTTAAGTATAAACCTTACATGTGCAAGATTTGTATGCTGGAAACCACAGAACACTGATGTAAGGATTCAAAGATGACTCCAAAAAATGGAAAGATGTACCATGTTTTGGGACTAGAAGACTCAATCTTGTTAAGATGTCAAATCTCTGCAAATTGATCTATAGATTCAATGCAATCCCAATCAAAATCCCAGTAGAAATTTTCACAGAAATTGACAAGATGATTCTCAAATTTATTTGGAAAAGCAAAGGAACTAGGACAACCAAAACAACTTAGAAAAAGAAAAATGTTGGAGGAATCACAGTACTTGATTTCAAGATCTACATTTATCAAAACAGTATGGTATTAGTGAAGGGACAGACACAGAGATAAATGAAACAAAATTAGAGAATCCATAAACAGATCCACAGCTCTCAACAAGATGTAATGGCAATTAAATAAAAAAAGAACAGCCTTTCCAACAAATGGTGCTCATAAAACTGAACATCTATATGCAAAAATAAAGAACTTCAATCTATACTTTGCCTTGCATATAAAAATTATACAAAATTAGTAACAGACCTAAATGTAAAATCCCAAATTATAAAACCTCTGGAAGAAAGCAGGAGATAAATCTTTGTGACCCTGAGTTAGGTAAAGATTTCTTAAATACAAAACCAAAAGCACAACCCATACCAGAAAAT